CAGATGATTACAGGTAAGGAGAGAAACGGACAGAAAAGGATCCTGGAAGTGAGGAAGCCGTAAAATGAATTTGAGAAATTTTGCTTTTACTCCTGCAAAGATGAGGAACAAAAGCAAAAATACGAATACCAATCACAGCATTGATTGCCAGGTGACAGTAGTTTAAGCAGCAACAGCTGCCATGGGAAGCTTGTCAGCTGTTCTCCAGGGTTTATTAAAGCTTAAGAAAAAAGTAGCGCACTTTAGCAGCTACCTGCGGCGACTGCATCGTCACGAAGAAGGTAATATACTGTTGTCTTTTACGGTTTGGTCATTATGGTGTGGGGGTGTTGGGTAGTTCAGAAACAAAATAATGGCATGTGACTGTAGCCGGTCCAATATACTAATCAAACCAATGGAGAATTTCGTCTTTTCCCTAGCAGAGTCGCACTGAGAGAAGTGCTAGCAAGCTAAAAGTGAACAAAAAATTAATTCCACTGCACATCAGTTGCTGTGTGGAAGTTTGATTGCGTCCGAGATGGCTCCTTTCGTTTAAGTGCATTAATTGATAACAGCTGTGAACATTTGCAGATGAACGTTCTGTTTTGTGGCCCTTGCAAAATGACTGAAACACACTAACCATCCGATAAATAATAGTTCAGCAAAAAAACGGAGCGCTGCGCATCCATATAATTCATTCGCTGTGGTAGGTGCCATTTCAGATCAAATTGTGCACTGAAAAACACGTTCAATTATCGTAATCAATGCAAGCACGCCGGAGAGACTAAGCGAAAAGGTGGTGCAACACGGAATGGATCAAATCCGAAAAATCCGCAGCGGCTGCCACATGCCAATGATGCAGTATGCGGCACGTGGCGCAGAATTCGCCACCACTAACACATACTGATTCATTCAAAACGTACTTCTCGTGGTCGGCGCTCACTTTTAGGTCCGTTATTGCTGCATCAATTTCAGCTTCAACAATTAAACCAATGAAAATGCTCCGTTCACCAACATCGTTGCTCGCAATACATTGGTACAAACCCTGCAGATCACTCACATACATTTCCAATCATGAACGGAATCAGAACATCAGCAAAAAATAACCCCGAAGTTGAGCAATGTAAGCTGGAAATCTCCCGATTTTCGCTCTTTCACTAGTGATTTTTGATGGAGCCCACTTCGATGCTCTTAATTCCTTGATGTTGCATTTCCGCATGCGGAAAGTAATGCAGAACCGTTAATTCGCGCAAATTTGATGTAAATGTCGTCACAACTAAGTCTACTTCACACAGATGTATCAGTCTTTCCGCTGATGCCGGTGAATGAACTGAGAGCCAAACAACCGTTAGTGCCAAGATTAACAATCTTAATTTCATAGAAAATCGATGCTAGAGAGCCTGACGTAGCGCATTAGTACTAGGGTTTTCCAGAGGCATTTCTAAAATATCCTTATGAAAAAACAGCCTCCTTGACAGTAGTGCCGTGCAGTAACTGCTACTGGTAAAAAACCACTTCTTGCTACTTCCCAGTGCTTCAGTCTTTCAGTGAAAATGAATGATTAGCATTACACGTGACAATATCGGAACAGCTACCAAAACTTCACCACATAAAAAAGTTAGACATTCTAACGCCTTCATAGCCTCATCACCGCTGCACAAAAACACTCCCCTTCAAAGCAGCGAGTCAACTAGAAGGGCGTTACGGTGCTTAAAACCACTCCTCGCATGCTTCTTCATAAAGTGGACCTGGTTACCTGATCAGTTTGCTGGACGTGTGAAAGAAGCAAATCTTTGGTGAATTCGACTCTGC